TTTAATTGAAATAAGTTTCGTGACAGGGTTACAGGCTGGACGGCCGAGGAATCCACGTTCTATTCCCTGCAGAGGTATAGCGTCCAGACCGGCTCTGCGATACATCCAGCCTTCTAAGTAGTGGGTACCGGGGGTAAAGCTGACCACACTCCTCCATCTAGTGGCGTAGTTGAGAATGCGAGGATATATACCCCCTTTCCCGCGCCTCTTCTTGGCTTGGCGCTTGATTAAGGACAGAGACAAACCCCATTCATTGATGTCAGAAATAAATCGATTTGTAAATATGAAACAGGGGGACATTGTATTAGACTTTTCTCAGTGCATTTGCCAATTACACAAATGTTCTGTGTGGTGTTTTTGCCTAACGCTGATAGTGTAGCATCTATGCCACTTTAACCATGGTAACAGCTTTAATAAGTGAGCCAGTATAGCGACTGGCTACGGGCTGGACGGCCGAGGGATCGGAGTTCGAGTGTCGGTAGGCTCAAGAATTTTTTTTTCTTCACAACGTCCAGACCGGCTTTTGGTCCCACCCAGCCTCCTATCCAATGGGTACCGGGGGCTCTTGCTCCGGGGATAAAGCGGCTAGGGCGTGAATCCGACCACTCACCTCCAACTAGTGTCGAGGTGAAGAAAATATGGATCTATGCACCCACTCCCCCATACGCCTTCATGGTGTAGTGCTTAATTAGTTAAGCACAAGGACAACTTTACCTTTAACAGCTTTAACAATCCGCTAGTAGCTGTTTCTTAAGGGGGTTCGTAATAGGCGAAACCGATGCTGTAACTCCACAGGCGGTCTGTTGCGGTCAAGTCAGGTGATCGAAGGGGTCAGACATTGGGGCATTTTCAGGGAATGCCTGTGTTGTGTTCGTGTTCCAAGGAGATGTGAGGTTTCTGCTTCCCATATTGAGCCGCCCTGGTTGTGTCACTTACAGCTTATGTAAAACTTGACCTGATCACTAGCTGATTCCAAGGTGGAATGGCCCCGTATTTCAAACACCGCAATGCTAAGCCTGTATATGTCCCCTGGACGGAGACTTGTGGGTAAGTTTTAAGAACACAGTCCTGGCTTCTTTCCCCCACCCCTTCTTACTTTCATCCTCTTTTTGTTCGTTGACGAAGCCTAAAAGCGCAGTCAACGACGGAGTTTTTTTTTTCTTTCCAAGGGATACAGCCCATTTTGTAAGGGACAGGAACAGGGAAATTTGCGTTTACGCCATCTAAGTGTTAAAAATTATTACGCTTGATGGAATTTCAGTCTTAAAGGTGAATTTTTTAAATTTACCTAATCTTTCCAGCCGCACTATGGTCCTGGGGTCGACTCAGCCTCCAACAGAAATGAGTACCAGGAATATTCCGGGGGGTAAACGGCGGCCGGTGCGTAAGGCTGACCTCACCGCCATCTGTGAGCCGAATGTCTAAAGAAAACGTGGGAGTCTCGACTTCTCACAACCCTATGGGCCTCCACGGCCTGTTACAGGGATACCTTTAATTTTTTTCTTTGTGGATATTAAAAAAACCAAGGGGCAGGAGGAGCAGACGCCTGGGTTTCCCCTAAATGCTGACGTTGCCCACGAAGAATCCTGCTCTTTTCGCCTTTTTAAAACGCGTGTGGATCCTTTTGAATAACCTCTCTTTACTTTTCTCTATCTTTGGTTGCCTGGTTATTGACGTGAAAATATCGATGCGTCTTCAGTCATTATGTACCATCTGGAAGGCCAGCCGGCGCCCTACTTACTGCCTGCTTATAGTTGCGTGGCATTTGGACGTCGGTTTGTGGGGGAGTCGGTCAGACCTGCAGGCCTTCTGGTCACGCGAACGCGGTCTACGACGCTAGAGGGGAGGGGTCACAAAGAATCGTCCAACCACCACAAAAGGGCATACTATAACACTAAGTCAGTTCCCCCCCCCCCACTTTTTGCCTTGTAAGTGGAGCGCTCTATTTCGAGGAAGACGTGGCCAAAATATGTCTTTTCCTAGATATGCTTCGTTAGTTAGGGATCTCTTAGGCGATCCGTTCGTTTAACCGTTCGATTTGCGTTAATCATATATCTGTAAGCCTATATGTTGACACGGGTTTTCGTGTGATTATACGTTATGAAAGTAAAGGTAAAGTTGTCCCTGGCCGGTCACGGTAGCCGAGCGGTCTAAGGCATGTACGGTCTTCGCTCGGCTGGAAACCGGGATCGTGGGTTCGAATCCCACTCATGGCATGGATGTTTAGTTTGTGTGTGTGTTTACAGGTAGAGGCCTTGCGACGATGTAAGATCTAGAAAAACCGAAGTGAACGGAGAAGTTCATGGAGGTAGGCCTAGGCCCACTGGGGCTGTAGTGCCAAGGAAAAAAAAGTTGTCCCTGTACTTAATTAATTAAGCATCACGCCATGAAGACGCATGGGGGATTGGAGATACAGCTCCACCGTTCTTTACCTCGGACGATTGGAGAAGTGAAAATTCTTGATCCTACCGGGACTCGAATTCTGACCCCTCGGCCGTCCAGCCCGTAGCCAGTCGCCAAACCGACAGAGCTATCCCGGTCACCGACCAAATTTTAGGTCATTTAAAATTTAGAAGAGTATTCTAGACGATGAGGAGCTGGAATAGCTCGGTATAGCGACTGGGTACGGGCTGGACGGCCGAGGGGTCAGAATTCGAGTCCCGGTAGGATCAAGAATTTTCACTTCTCCAATCGTACTGACCGTTTCTGGGGTCCACCCAACATCCTATCAAATGGGTACTGGCGGCTCTTTCCCATGAGTGAAGCGGCCGTGGCGTGAAGCTGACCGCTCACCTCCAACTAGTGCCGAGGTCAAGAAAATGTGGATCTATACACCCACTCCCCCATACGTCTTCATGGCGTAGTACTTAATTAGTTAAGCACATGGACAACTTTATTTTAATTATTTTTTATTTATTATTCTAGATGATGACACAGCTTGTTACTTCTATTTCTTTTTAATTTATTGATTTGCATATACTTTTGGTGTAATGTACATACAGTTTTGATACAGTTTTTGTATATTATACCTACAGATTTGGTATAATTTTTGTGTAATAGCGGCGTAATTTGCATGCGGTTTTAATGTAATTTTCGAATAATTTTGCTGTAATTTACATATAAGTTTTGTATAATTTACTTCCCGTCTGCCGACATCCGCGGTTGAAGAATGGCTCCGATACAAAGCAGCACAAAGAACTAGTTTTATGACATAAAAACAACAACTGATAAGTGCAACGTGTGACGTATATTGTCGCCACTTTCCAGGATCAGCGCTTCCCCTGAATTGCTGATACGCAGTTTCACCTTCAGACAATTTTTTTTCCTTGGCACTACAGCCCCAGTGGGCCTAGGCCTACCTCCATGAACTTCTCCGTTCACTTTGGTTTTTCTAGATCTTAGACATACGGTAGGACTCCTTGGGCGAGTGATCAGCTCTTCGCAAGGCCTCTAACACCTTCAGACTTACAGGTATATTTTACCTGCTCACAATACTGACAAACAGACAAACACAGCAGCAGGCAGAAATGAAACAAAACTGCTGACTGTCAGAGCTACGTATATAGATGGCCATAATGTGATTTTTCGTTTGCTCAAACTGACCAGTGGTTCCCAAACTCCTTTTATTCCTAGACCTCCGTAATATAAAATTAATTTAACGGCATTTTGAGATGATGTATTTCACTCAAGATGACTTTGGTGTTTGCGCATCGTCTACTGTTCTGAAACAACACGTTTTGGAAAGATTTACTTCATTACCCTCATCCAGGGACTGAGATCAGTTTCTTTCTAATGGACCCATTAGAGTAGATGTCTTTCGAAGTTTATATGTAGACAAAAATCTAGGAACCATATAAATCTCTTTCCTTTTATTCTCAGATTTGTTTCATGTCAGGCTTTTGTATTTTGCACAAAGAGCTCGTTTATCTTCATGCTTATGATCACTCACTCACTCATGGAGCTGAGCTCTTCTGGAGGAGCCGCCAATTCTGCATCTACTCAAGAACTTGCCAGCATTTTATGGAACCCGAAGGTTCATTACAGTGTTCACAACAACACTCCATGGGTCTCTATCCTGAGCCAGATCAATCCAGTCCATACCATCCCATCCTATCTCTCTAAGATCCATTTTAATATTGTTTACCCACCTACAGCTTGGTCTTCCCAGTGGTATCTTCCCTTCTGGCTTTCCCACCAATATCCTATATGCATTCCTTTTCTCCCCCATTCCTGCTACATTCCCTGCCCATGAATACATAATAGTGTGATGCTTTAACTCATACAAATTGGAGTTAATTAATTATAAATGCATGCAGTAACAGGATCAAAACACAACACAGAACACGATACACAAATGTATGTAGGAAGAATGCTCACATAAAAGAGGATTGGCGTAATTCACATGTTTGAGTGCAACGTAGGATGAATCCTGAAAAGTTTTATTATTTGGAATTCATCGACATATATGACGAATACAGATTTTAGTCATTTTAGAATGAAGACATCATGGCATGCAGTACAATAGTTTAACGTGCATAAAGACACCTGAGGATGGCACATTAGTGCTGAAACATGTAGTGTGGAAGTGAAGAATAAGGTGAAAAAGTGTATACACTGTAAGACAGTTAGCATAAACCATGGATATAAATAACCGTTCACTTCGTTAAACATAGAGCTCTTTTCCTCATTAAATGTGCAGTACCTGAGCTGGAATGCATCGATGTAACTGGTGGAGAATAAATATATATAATCTCGCATGAGAACTTGATATTATGCAATGATAGCGGCCTCAAAATGATCTAGTTGTCAATTTCTGTTTTTAATTTGTTTAAAAATTTACTCCATAATGTAGTAAAGAAATTTCCCAGTGGAGTTCTTTGTAGTTAATTAAACTTGTTTGTAGCCTGTTAAGTAAAATGGACCTTATTATGAGACATGACCTCTGCATAAGGTTTTCTTTTCTACTTTTTGATGATGGAATTGTCTCTGACTTGTTGCAGTAATGCTGGGCCAGCTGAACCCAGTTTGCAGTGGACAGAGAAGCCTAGTGAGGACACAGTGTCAACGTCATGTACTACTAAACAGTCCAAGGTGGAAGCCAGGGAATTCCACGGCAGCCCCCTAGACATAAGTCCAACAGAAGGTGGCATCCCCATTAGAGAAGATGAGAAACGCTTTTCAACTTGGGGTCATCCATGCCCTCTGAGTAAACGCGCTTCACAGCAGTGCCAAGCCCATTTTGTTCGTTCAACAAGTGTTCCAAGTCTAGCCCACAGATGGCTGTGTTCACAGTGCCAGTTTCTGAATGTGAGTGTAACTTCCCGTTGTGCAACATGTGGCAAGGTTAATCTTGAAGTGGATCGACAACTAGGCATTGGCACTGACATTGAAAATGTTGTGGAGAACAACAGTGGGGCAATGATGGCCTCTTCTATAGCATCTGTAGGTCCTGGTCATCAGGAGCATGCTGGGAACTGGTACAATGTGACGCCAAAGTGCTGTCAACATGGTCAACATAGCGACATGATGGAGCAGAGTGTCTTTCCTCAATGTGGGATCAAACGTGATTGTCAGCAGGGTGAAAAGTGGAATGATGAGCATACTCATGGCACCTCTGTCTCCTTGGATGGAGGTTTGACGCCAGTAGAGGTTCCCAGCGGTGCTAGGTTGGTGCAGAATTTGAACTCAGTTGTCATCCAAAACAGTACAGTGACAGCAGTTTCAAGTACTAGTGCCAGTACTCAAGACTGTGTTGATTGTAAAACTAACAGTATTCAGGACACGTCACAGAATAGGTCACCAAAGCGTCAGAATCCATCAGTGTATGAACGTGTGAAATCCAAAGTAAGCAGATCTCTTTCGAATGGTTCTGTCCAGAAATTGTGGATAGATACAACACCCAAATCTTTTATGAGTGGAAATGTCTTTAGACGTCCCACCAGTCTTGTTGTAGATAACGTTAGTGACGAGAAAGTTAGCAGTGTTAGCAGTAGTAGTAGTAGCAGTGGAAGTATACAAGGTTGCAAAATTGGTGATAATTCAGGCAGGGTTAGTGACATTCGTAAATATAAATTTCTTTCTTCTCAAAAATCGGCTTCTAGTTCTACGTGTTCTTGGACGTGTCCACGATGTACTTTAGAAAATGTTGGAATAAGGGACCGTTGTGAGGTGTGCGAGACCCCTAGAAAACCAAATCTTCCCTTGGGTTCCGTCCTACGTTCAGGGACGCTTCCTAATACGTTGCCACGTAATGGCATTGTGATCACTGTTCCTGACTGGGAGGAAAGCAAGCCTGCAGAACCTCTGAAACTTAAACCCACAGTGCTGCAAGATCTCTCAACACTTAAACCTCCACAAAGTGTTCTGCAAAACAGTGGTGATGCTGGTGATCCAACATCACCTGGAGACACTGCTTGGCAGAGGCCAATATATCGACGATCCTTCTCGGAAATGAATGCAGTATCAAATGATATGGATCATTGCAAGGCCTCATCAAATCGGCGGAGCATGATAGAAACAGATGCCCAAGGCAACATCCCAGTGAGATCACCAATAAATCTCAATCTGCAATTGCAGCAGTCACAATCTGGTAACAGATCTGGAACTAGATATTCATATATTGGTATCACTGATCCTTCTACACAGCAGCAGATAAGAACTTCTATAGGTTTGAATCATAAATCAATTGCTCCCAAAAAGAGACTCATTCCTCCACCTGTCCTGGATGTAATGGACCTTAATGATTCTAATAATGGGAACATCAACTCATCTTCACCAGTGACAAACCATAACACTCTGCTTTCCTCCTCTTCATCAAATGCCTCTTCAGAAACCTTGAATTCTACATTTGATCGCATGTGGACTTGCACTAAATGCTCATATGCCTACAATCCACTGTGGTCAGACAGCTGTGACATATGCAACTCTGTTCGTTCCCCTCCGTCTCTTACAGAACCCAGCCTCATCACAGTGACTAAAGACAGCGTCAGGTATACTCCGCCTAAGAGAGATGATTTTGAAGAATGTGAAGGTGTTAATAACAACGATCCCCTGACCTTGGTTCTTCCGGGTCCTATGGCCACCTTGGCCACACTTGAGCAGGATCTAGATGATGATTTCCAGTTCCTGCCTGGTGATGGATCAAGTTCTCCCGGAACAACATGTGAACAGGAGTGGACCTGTAAGAAATGCACATTGGTTAATTCAGGTACTTCCATGGCTTGTGTTGTCTGTGGTGGCTCTAAACTCCGCAGTATCTCTATGGTAGAAGACATGACGCTACGTAAAGGAGAATTCTGGTCTTGTGTTCAATGCACATTAAAAAATCCTCTTAGTGCTCAATCCTGCATGGCCTGCAAGACAACTAAAAAGCTTCTAGAGGTCCCCAAATCTAGTAGCGGTAGTGGCGGCGGTTCCAGGAGTCCTTCTCCACGACCTTCATCATCTCGACTAGGCAGTGGCAAGGTTGTAGGTAGTGGTGCCATTCCAAAACAGAGAGTTGGTGGGAGTAGGAGAGGTGCTATACCAAGCGGTACACCCAGGAGTAACGGTGTGGCCAGTCGCAGCGGCCATCACCGATCTGGCAACATCAACAGGGACTTACATGTTGACCATATGTCCATGCCTGCATCATCAACAGGTAGCAGGAGTCCACGGGCCATTGAACAGCAACCCGTCACACCATTGGTCTCATGGCATTGTATCTTATGTACGTATGAGAATTGTACAGCTTCAGTTTCGTGTGAGATGTGTCAGAGTTCACGATGTCTCTCCTCATCTGCGGTGGTTCTTACCAATGGTAGGACATCAGCTACTCCATCACCTGGTGCCTCTTCAGGGCCAAGAACTTCTAGTATGAGCAACAGTATCGCTGTGCTTAAACAGGAGAGCGAGCTCATGGAAGATCTGAGGCATATCGAAGAGCAGGAGGCTCTGGAAAAGTGGGAGCGCATTGTTCAATACTGCAGAGAGGTAAGATCACGGTATAAAACAAATATAAAAGCTAGCTAGACCTAGCTCTATATATTGGACCCAACTGAGTAGGTTCTACCTGAGGACAGGGACAGAATCCAGTCTCTCAAACGGCATGTTTTTAAAAAGTAAACAGAACAGGTTTTAGAAAATAGTCAAGACGATGGATAATGTCCAAAAACATAATACTTGCAGTAATATACCATCATCACAAACTTTTAGATCTTAATTCTAAAAGGTGTTTATGGTTGTGTGTTACACGTACTAGCGCTCTGGACGTCGTTCGTTTTCATTTATTGAAAACTGGAGCACAACATTTTGGGAACTGCATCTGTTTTTGTCCTCAGATAAGGAGTATCAACTCAGCTGGATCTCTTAGAACATCTGATCTGTTGATTGGGATTAACTCTTTCTAATGGACCCAACTGATTAGATACAGCTTGCATGGGAATGGAAGCAAATCCAACTCCCCTAACATTATGTTCCATTTTAGAATATCAGACAGTGGAAATAGTCCAGAAAATTTCCAATGCTAAAAGCATGAAATATTAAGATGTATCTTCTGAATGTAAGTGTACTTTATTATTATTATTATTATTATTATCATCATCATCATCATCATCATCATCGTCGTCGTTGTTGTTGTTGTTATTATTATTATTANAGACCAGTTATTGATGAGTTGGAAGGAAATGGAAAAGCGAACTAGTGGTATGATGGAAGAGACTGGAAGCTTTTCATGTATTGTTCTGTATAAAATGGAAACAGTGCTTGAAAAAGATGAAGATATTTCTGTAGTAAAATTTATTAATCTGTTACATTTCATTTAACTTGTTCATGTGTTGATATTACTTTTTACTGACTTCATAATGGCATGTATATGTAAATATAATTTATACAGTGAATAATGTTTCTTTTTACATTTTTCAGAACAAAGAACCATTTGTAGATGATTCATTTCCACCAGCCCCAAAATCATTATACTACAATCCATCTGAAACTAAAGATAACCATGTTGTTCAGTGGCTTCGCCCACATGAAATTGTGATGGAAGGAGACTCGAAACTGAAGTGGGCTGTGTTCCGCACACCTTTGCCTTCAGACATTTCACAAGGTGGAGTATTGTCGTAATTCTAAGCAATTTTTTATATAATGGTCCATTTCTATGATGTGGACATTAACCTCGTTTTCCACAGATGTTAAATTAATATTTTATAATGTAAATATTCGTCTGTTAGATTTTAACTCATGTGTAATACTGTGCAGGGACCGCCTCTGCGGTCTAGTGGTCAGAGTTCCTGGCTATAGATCCAGAGGTCCTGGGTTCGATTCCCGGTGCTACTAGATTCTCTGAGAAGTATTGGGTCTGGAACGGGGTCCACTCAGCCTCGTGAGGATAATTGAGAAGCTGTTTCTGGGAAATAGCTGCTCCGGTCTAGAAAACCGACATTAACGGCCGTGGGGATTTGTTGTGCTGACCACGTGACACCCTCTATCCGCTAACGTTGGCACTATCTTCGCTGACAAGCAGTGGTCGCTGAATTGGTAAAGTTTGCTTGCAGACTGAAACCACGGAGTTATTTTTTTGTAATACTGTGCACCCTTTGACTGTCATGCTCTGTCACAGAACAACCTGCTAAAAATTCCAAGGCTACTTATGAAGAAATGCAGTTGCACAGAAGGATCCACATTACTTCTTCAAATGACCTTAAAATGTCTATAGGTGTAGAATATGTGAAAGCCTTTGCCTTTCCTCTAAGCACAAGTATGTCTCACTTGATGACATCTGTTGACAGAAATGTTGTACTAAATGATTAACAGTGAGCCTGTCTCTTTTTTTGAATTGAATTGAATTTATTTACATTCTATAAATCCTAAGCAGGTTAGTACCTTTGGATACAGAACAAGTCAAAATATTACATACATAAGTACAGGCAATTTTAGCTTAAAAATTAATATAACTTAATTTTACATCATTCTCTATTTACATTGAAGTATTCATCTAAAGAGTAGAAGGAATGAGCATGTAGATAATTCTTTAACTCTGATTTAAACTTTTTAGTATCATTGCCCAAGTTTTTAATACTTTGTGGCAGATTGTTGAACACTTTTATGCCAGTAAAGTAGACTCCTTTTTGATATACTGATAAAGTTGATGAGGGTAGGTGGAAGTTATATTTTTGTCTAGTATTCATGTTATAGACATCAGAATTTAATTTGAATTTATCTTTGTTGTAAACAACAAATAGGAGAAGCGATAATATGTATTGCGATTGAAGCGGTAGAATTTTTAATTTCTTAAATAATTCTCTACATGAATCTCTACTTCTACATCCTGTAATGATTCTTATTATATTCTTTTGTATTTTAAAAATTATTACACTATGTGAAGAGTTCCCCCAAAATATTAATCCATAGTTCATAATAGAATGAAAGTAGGCATGGTAAACCATCTTCAATGTTTCCTGTGACATAAAAGGCTTAATTGATCTCATCGCATAGCAAGCTGCATTTAATTTAGGTATAATTTGTTCAATATGTATTTTCCAAGACAGTGTACTGTCTACATGTATTCCAAGGAATTTTGTATCAAGTACTTTACAGATTAATTTGTTGGCATAACTGATGTCCAGATCAATTTGGTGGTTGTTTTTAGTTGTGAATGATATGTAATGGGTTTTATCAAAATTTAATGAGAGTAAATTGGCTTCGAACCATCTGTTTAAGGCTTCAAATACAATATTTATGTCATTTTTAAAGTTTTCAAATTTAGAGTTCTTAAATATTATACTAGTGTCATCTGCATATAGAATTGGTTTAGATTTATTGTTGATGGTTTTAGATAGATCATTTATGTAGAGAAGAAAAAGTAAGGGACCTAAAATTGATCCTTGTGGAACACCGTGCTTTATAATTCCCCAGTTTGAAAATGCATTATGACTGGAGTTTTTATTATTTATTTCAACTCTTTGATACCTGTTTTTGAGGTATGATTTGATCCATTCATTAGCTTTGCCAGTTATTCCATAGAAATTTAATTTCGATAGTAAGATATCATGATTAACACAATCGAAAGCTTTTGCTAGATCACAGAAAATCCCTCCCACAATTAATCTGTCATTGAGAGCACTTAAAATATCGTTAGTTAGTTCATAGGTTGCTTTTTCTGTTGTTAGGTCTTTCCTAAATCCAAATTGCTCTTTGACTAATATGTTGTTAGAATTTAAGTGTTCAAGTAGTCTATTATACATAACTTTTTCAAAGACTTTTGAGAATGAAGTCAATATGGATATTGGTCTGTAATTAGAGATGCATTTTCTCTCTCCTTTTTTAAAAAGTGGTTTCATTATAGCGTATTTTAAGCGTTGAGGAAAAGTACCTGATGATAAAGATTTATTACATAGATGATTCAAGGGTGAACTGATGTAAACAGAGCTTGCTTTAAGTAATTTGGTAGAGATTTCATCATATCCATGTGAATTTTTGGGCTTAAGGGATTTAATAATGTTTTCAATTTCCTTCCTTGTTGAGAATTTGAGATTGATATTTGGAAATGAATTGTTAAAGGCACGAGACAGATAGTATATTGGATTATTATTATTATTATTATTCAGCTGTTGTGGTTATAACACAAGTACAGTATACAGAATGAAGTAAAGGATTGTGTTTTGTAATATAATTATGGGTACACACAGCATCAAATATAAGTGTTGTTGTTTCTTGCAGGCAATCTAAAAATGTAACAAAGCATACAAAACTATAATTTTGGCTGTAGTTTTGTATGGGTGTGAAACTTGGGATGTCACCCTGAGGAGGGGAGGGGGTATAAATCCAGAATGCTTGAAAACAGGGTGCTAAGGAGAATATTTGGACATACAAGGAAGATGTAATAAGAGGGGGAGGAAGTTACATTATGAGGGCCTTCATAGTTTGTTTCTTCATAGAATACAATTAAAATGATCAAATCTAGGACGGTAAGATGGGCAGGACATGTAGCATATGGAAGCTGCAAGAGATGCCTGTAAAGTTTTAGTATGAAAACATGAAGGAAAGAGCCACTTTGAAGACTAGGCATACAGGTAGATGGAAGGAAAATATTAAAATGGATCTTAAAGAAATATGAGTAAGATGGTAATGTAAGGACTGGATGTATCTGTCTGAAGGGACCAGTGGTGGGCTCTTATGAACATGGTAATAAAGCGTCATGTTCCATGAAATACTGAGGAGCTTTTTTTTAGTAGGTGAGCAACTGTTAGCTTCTCAAGAATGATTTAGCTTCATGAGATGAGTGAGTCATGCATGAAAACCCACATGTTACACTTAGGAATCCCAGTGGGAATAAGAACACTGGTTCTTCATGTCAACACTTTTGATGTGCAGGTGTGTTGGGTAACTGCTGGCTCCTGAGTGCCCTTGCAGTGTTGGCAGAACGAGAAGATCTGGTCAAGAAAGTTATGGTGATGCGAGAGTTCTGCCACCAGGGTGCGTACCAGGTCCGCCTCTGCAAGGACGGCAAGTGGACAACTGTGCTTGTTGATGACCTCCTGCCCTGTGACAAACGTGGCCATCTGGTCTACTCCCAGGTTAGTAGAGCAGTTTGAGAAGGTATCCAACATATTTAAAAGTGATAAGGGTGGCATGACTGTGAGGTGTAGGTAAATTTGTCTCTGTGCTCTCTCCATTAAAGTATACCTATGACAATAGGAAATAAATCTAAAATGTAATGTTTCTAATTATGAAGATGAATGCTATCCCTCCTGAGAGAATGCCGTCTTCTGGGATGTGGCACCATGTAGATCTTCTGTAAACCGACGTTTCAGAGGAGCATATCGCCTCCATCTTCAGGGTATGTCTGCAGCCACCCGCTTACACTGGTTCCACACTCACAGATTTTTCTACCCCGAGGATGGAGACGATATATTTCTCCGAAACACGGCGCCACATCCCAGAAGACGGCATTCTTCATAGTCACCACTGTGAAAACCTCCATTCTTATCCCTGCTGTTTCTACTCAAGACATTTCATAAAAGAAATATGTAATAAAGTCACAGAATGTTCAAGAAATGACTAAGTCTCTAAAGAAGCACAAAAAATGCAGTGCGGTGACTACTGGGTGCTAAGTTTTAAGTCATAACTCAGAAAATTTGTTGTGTAAGTCTAATACGTGTTAATGTAAAGGGATCGTAAGTTACAAAGTCACAAGTCGAGATGATCCAACTTTGTATTGTACAGCATCTTGCTCAGTTGGAAATTTGATGTATTTGTATTTGTAGGCCAAAAGAAAACAGCTGTGGGTTCCGCTTATTGAGAAAGCAGTAGCAAAAATTCACGGCTGTTACGAGGCCTTAGTGTCTGGGAGAGCCATTGAAGGACTTGCAACCTTAACTGGTAAGATTACGTTTGGCTTATAGTATGGTAATGACATTTTCCTTATTACTTTATTTTTACATAATGCAGCACTGTGTAGAACTGAGAAGTCAGTACTTTGTGTTGTATTCGGGTGCTCATGGGATAAAATCTCACTATACTACTGCCTGTCCTGACAGGTTACCTGAATACAAGTTGCATATTTTTCAAAGATCTGTTACCTTACATAATTTCAGCATCCGTGTCGATTGATTGGTTTATTTATTGATTGATAATGGGTTAGCCATTACTCTTACACAGTGACCATTTCCATGTTATTGTGTATTCCTCTTCTTTGTTAGTCCTCAAACAGTCCCACATTTCTGATGAAGTGCAGTACTTAATGGGGCCTAAAGCAATCACTTGGTTTTATAAACTGAAATTCCAAGTGTGAAATCTAGAATTAGCTACAGCCACATATTCGCATGGAATGTGTAAGGCTGTTCCATCTTCGTTCAGGTACCTTTTACAAATGGGATTATTTTATAATCCTGGCACCTGTTTCATCTGGTTCCTGTTTAATTTAATATTTGACTAGTTTCTTTGTAGAGGGCCCTTAGCATGTTTATGTCCTGCTTTGTACTCACCCACTGCTTTTGTAGTGTCTGTTCATCCCGTCTCTGATAGCCTTTTTTGAAACTACTCAGGATCCTAAATTGTTAACAAATATCACTGCCATTTCACAAGGTTGCATGTCTGTCATGTTGTTACTACTGATTGAAAGAAATTGAAAAATATGGTGGGGTGGTCTGTAGTGATGTTAATTTCATATCAAATGTCATGAAACTTGGTCATCAGGTTTGTAAGTCAGAATGGGAGGGGGTTACACAGACAATATGCCAATATCGTTAACCTGTTTATTCTTCCTTAACCCTTCTGTGGGGAGGGAGAATTATTTATGACAAAGAAGAGTCAAAGGGCCTGTACATTCACCGAACCTAACCCGGTATGACAACTTAATCTCACACAACCAAACAACATCAAAGGATGTGATATGTTTTGTATCACACAAAGGGTTAGGATAGGAAAATAAACAAAAAGAGGTGAATTAGCAATGGTTATTGTTTCTAAAGTACAAAAATTGTGTGGTTAGGTGCGCCTTGTGAGAGTGTGCCCCTTCAACCATCATCACTGCCATCAGAAGATGAGCTGGACCGAGATCTGATCTGGGCCCAGCTGCTGAGTTCCCGTCTGGCTCGATTCCTCATGGGTGCATCCTGTGGTGGAGGTAACATGAAGGTCGATGAAGATGAGTACCAACGTAAAGGTCTCAGGCCTAGGTATGGACTTCCATTTATCGTTTTATTGTGATTACAGAGACTGGCTTCTCTTTCTTAGTCAGTTATTGTTGTAACATTGAAATAAACATCATTTATTGATCTGAGCCTTTTCTAGATGAATGCTCTTTGTGGGCCCTACATTCTTAGTTTTTTAAATCTTTAGGTTTTGTGTTTACCCTGATGATGTTCAGATTAACAACAGTTTTTTTTTAATTCACTTAGTGGGGGTGGAGTCCAACTGGATCCACTTGGCATGGTGGCCACTGATTGGCCTATTGTAGCCTGCCTCAGGTGATTATGATGATGTAGAATTTGGTGGAATGAAGATTGCCAGGGGAACCGAAGTACTTGGAGAAAACCTGCCCCAATGCCACTTTGTCCATCACAAATCCCACTTGACCAGACCCGGGATCGAACCCGGGCTGCTGTGGTATGAAACCAGCGATTGACTGCCTGAGCTATGGTGTGGCCCTAAACAGTTTTGGTTTCAAGTTTCTAAATTCAGCCATCTTATTCCTAGTATTTTAATGACTAACTGCTAAAGAAAGAATCAATGTAGAGAAATTGCTTATACTTTTCCATTTAGAGGGCATAACAGTATTTTGCCAAAGGCACAACCTATGCAGTTTTATTCATGTAAATGGTCTTCCTAAATGACTGAATTTGATCAGAATCATTTGAGCCGTTTTGGAGAAATTTTCAGTTTTGTTTGGGGGCCCTTATTCTTGGAGCTGGAATATTCATATTCATCAGGCACTGGCCTACAGTGGATGAGCTCTTAAACACAAAATATGAATAATATCCATCCCACCGTTCAAGCACTAGTGAGGCACCCATACTTACAGACAGACAGACAACATTCTGAAAACCATTTTGTCACCAACATGATACTTTCTGATACTATGTATGTGGGAGCCAGGATAGCACAGTCAGTATTGCGACTGGCTACGGGCTGGTCAACCGAGAGGTTGGAGTTCGAGTCGCATTAGGGTCAAGAATTTTCTCTTCTCCACGTTGTCCATACCAGCTGGGGTTCACCCAACCTCTTATCCAATGGATACCGAGGTCTCTTTCTCCTGGGGTAAAGTGGCCGGGGCGTGAAGCTGACCACTCACCTCCAACTACTGCCAAGGTCAAGAAAAGTGGATCTATACATCCACTCCCCCATATGACTTCGTGACATAGTGCTTAAGTAGCTAAGCACAGGGACAACTTTACCTTTATGTATATGAGAAAATAAAATATTATTATTACTCATACATTTTGGAAGGTGACTGAATGGCTAAGATTGTGAATTTCTGGTGTGTGACATCATATAGTCCTGTACATTGATTCCAGTGTTTCAGAGGAAACTGCTTCCTCCAGCTTCCACCCAGAAGGCAGAGGTAATAGTTTCATTCAAAATATTGGTACCCATCTGTCAGGCTACATAGTGTCGCATCCCACAGCACCATAACCTTTAAATTCCAAGTTGCTACGTGCATTCCTCCCTCTGTTCTCAGGCATGCATATTCTGTTTTGGATGTCCGGGACATGCTGGGGAATAGACTGCTGCGATTACGTAACCCGTGGGGCCATTACTCATGGAAAGGTGACTGGTCAGATGACTCACCCATTTGGACGCCTCAACTCAGGGAGATGTTAATGCCACATGGTGCATCCGATGGTGTCTTTTGGATCTCTTTTGAAGATGTCCTGAAGTAAGCAACACCTCAGCCATTTGCATTCTTAAACATGCCTGTATACCAGTGTTTCTCAACTGCCGGACCGCAATCTGGTACCGGGCCCTTGTCTTATAGCAGAAAGAATTTACCAGGTTGCAGTGTGACAAAGGTTGAGAACCACTACTGCATACTCTCATGCTACAAGCCACAGTCATTACGAGAATATGTTTATGCACAATGTAAAGGATTATTTAAAATGATACTGCTGCCATCTGTGAATGATATTGTTTACCTAAACTTTCGAAGGTACATCATATCTTGAGATGGCAATTTTACAGGAGAGAAGCTCTGTGTGTTCGGTGAGGTCTGTGGTGTGATGATTTTGGTTTTCATCGTGTGTTGAAAATGGAATCTTCTCAATTTTTTAATGATCATGTAGAAATCTACATCACTATCTGATGATTGCAGGCACTGACTGTTGTTTTAGTCTTGGTGTACTACAGTAAACACCCCGTTATCCTGTACATATGAGCAGTGGGGTGTAATGGTTACATTTATCTGCCAGTTGCACGAGGGAGACTCCCACAAGAACAAAGTTTTCACACAATTTTCACCATTTTCCAGTATATTACTTTCTTCTCTTTTCTGTTTTGAAGTCGAAACAACATGGTTTTACATTAGTTCTTGTGTGGGAATCATCTTGGGGCAGATAGCAGACTGATAGATGAAATATCTTGAAAATACTGAAACGTGATCACAAATTCTACTGTAATGTAATTTAAGGATCCATAATGATGCCTGCATGATGGAGAATTATGAAATGAATTACTGTTATTGACATGGCCCTTTTAAGTACAATTATTTATGAAAATTTTTTATTGAAACTAAATCTAAGGGATAAGTAATACACAGTGAATTTTGAAAGTTGACTGTTACTATGAAGTGTGATAAATTAGTCTAGTAGAGAAAACTTCTGTTCTTGTCTCAGCTGTCAAAATTTTCCAAATTCTCATCTTGAACTGAAAAAAAATTTTCCTATCACATGCCTTTCAAAAGTATTTTCTTTGTGTAAGATTTGAGGCTTTCACGGCGGTGACTATGAAGAAAGCAGTCTTCTGGGATTTGGCACCGTGTATATGTGGTGTTAACCGACGTTTCGGAGGAACGTATCGCCCCCATCTTCAGGGTTGAAGAAGTATAAGTAAATCTGCAAGCGACAACACCGTGAGACACGGTCAAGCAGACCAGTCTGCTTGACCGTGTCTCACGGTGTTGTCGCTTGCAGATTTACTTATACTTCTTCAACCCTGAAGATGGGGGCGATACGTTCCTCCGAAACGTCGGTTAACACCACATATACACGGTGCCAAATCCCAGAAGACTGCTTTCTTCATTATTTTCTTTGTGTTATGAGGAGACTATATTTATTTGTTTTATTTAATTCAGGTACTTTGACTGCATTGACATCTGTAAGGTGCGATCGGGCTGGAACGAGGTGCGTTTGCGCGGAACACTGCCTCCTCTTTCATCTCTTGATCATTTGTCTTGTGTTCTGCTGACTGTTCTGGAACCCACAGAAGCAGAGTTCACTCTCTTCCAAGAGGGACAAAGGTAAGGTAATGGTGTCAAATGCCCCTATATACTCGTAATAAGAAGTTAGGAATGTGTGCATTGTGTAACAATTCTGGTACATTCATTCCCTTTTGTTTAAATATCTAGACAAAAATATAACTTCCACCTACCCTCATCAACTTTATCAGTATATCAAAAAGGAGTCTACTTTACAGGCATAAAAGTGTTCAACAATCTGCCACAAAGTATTAAAAACTTGGGCAATGATACTAAAAAGTTTAAATCAGAGTTAAAGAATTATCTACATGCTCATTCCTTCTACTCTTTAGATGAATACTTCAATGTAAATAGAGAATGATGTAAAATTAAGTTATATTAATTTTTAAGCTAAAATTGCCTGTACTTATGTATGTAACCTTTTGACTTGTTCTGTATCCAAAGGTACTAACCTGCTTAGGATTTATAGAATGTAAATAAATTCAATTCAATTCAATAAAACACTATAATACATATAGGAGCTGGGATAGTGCAGTCGGTATGGTGACTGACTACGGGCTGGATGGCCAAGATGTCGGAGTTCAAATCCCAGTAGGGGCGAGATTTTTCTTCTCTTTGCATCATCCAAACCAGTTCTGATGCCGACCCAGCCTGGTATCTGATGGGTGCCAAGGGTTCTTTCCCTGGTGGTAAAGTCACCAGGCCATGAAGCTGACTGCTCACCTCCAAGTAGTGCTGAGGTCAAGAAGACATGGATCTATACTTCCACTTCCCCCTACATCTACATGTCATAGTGCTTAATTAATTAAGCAACAGACATTCTTTTATTTTTTCTTAAGATTACGAAAAAAGTTTATTCACCATAAATGCAGAGTTCAGTCATTTGTGGTGTAATATCATGTAGCCTGAATAACCATCAATTTCTTGAGAAGATACTTGCTGCTGAGTGAAGTGTTTGTATTATTCAAAGTATGGTAACTGTGTGGTGTGTTTGTACCAGGAACTCTGAGAAATCTCAGCGGTCACAGCTGGATCTTTGCGTAGTTGTTTTTCGCACCAGATCGCCCGCCTCCCCTGAGGTGGGACGGTTGGTAGAACACAGCAAGCGTCAAGTCCGCGGCTTTGTAGGCTGCCACAAGATGCTGGAGCGTGACCTCTATATTCTTGTTTGTCTCGCATTCAACCACTGGCACACAGGTACATTTCGTATATAACCTGACCACGTTTCTCCCCTGATACAGGCGTCCCCTCACTTCTGTCATAGTTGTGTTCCCACGAGTGTTGTGTGACTCAGAATCTTTGTAACTTCACTTGGCTGCCTTTAATTATTATTGAACAATATGTAATACAGTTAACTTTAAATGCCGTTCATTTTAATCATTTAAAAATCTTTTCTTCACTTGAGATTCTCATAGTAGAACAGTATTGTCTTCTGGAATGGAATGGTGTGCAGCCTGGTAGAAGTCCGCAGATGTCACAGAGGAACATACCGCTTCCATCATTAAGATTGGAAAGTAGTCCAAGCAACTGCTTCTTACTGGTTTCATGCTTGGCTTACTCTTTGACCCTGAGAGTGGAGGTGGTATCTTCCTCACAAATATTATTAGACTTCTACTGGGCTATATGGCATTACATCCAGAAAGACTGTATGTTTATTTGTAGTCACAAATAAATAAAAATTAACTTGAAGAATTTTCATATGAAATCACACTGGTATGATCTTGTGAGTTCAGAGACATACCAGCACCATTCAATATAGGATCCAGATGCGGTATGTGGTAATAGATCCTTGAAAAATGTTCTGCTTTTGTTAAGGTAATTTTTGTAAGATGTAAATTAAGTATATGATGGAAGATTTCAGTGTGACAGCAGTAACTAATGAACAATTGGAACTAGGCATGTGAAATTTTGAACTGAGATTATAGACATTATGTTTGAAATATTGTTTGTAAGTCAGTGATTACAAACAAACATGTTGACAGTGAGAGATTTTGAGATTATATCCAACAAATTTAATTTATGCAGCCACCTGTCCTTCACTAATAAGTTATTTTACAAAAATGAAAAAAAAAAAAATAACCATAATAATAGCAGTTGATCTCTATCACTAGAAATCTACGCAATGTAAAAGTAGTCTTTGTGGATTCTCTTCCTGTTAAGTATATTAGATAAGGATAAAATACCATACAGATATGTTAATCCTAGCTAAATTGTATTATGTAATTTTAAATGAATATTGTACAGGAATGGAGGACCCAGCAAGTTACCCAGAATATGTGTTAGCCATACACAGCTCGAAACGTCTGCTTGTGGAGCAAATCTCCCCACCAGCGTATGTGCTAGCTGATGCCATCATCAGCCTCACACTTGCCAAGGGGCAACGTCATGAGGTACGTGCGTAGAGTCCAAGTGAACTGACTTCTGTCTCTGTGAAGCCAGCAGACTGAATAATACAGTATGCGCCAAAATATACAGTTTTGAAATGAAAAGATGTCCTGTTGATACCACTGTCTATTCATGTGAAGGCCCCTTGCATGACAGAACCTTCTCAAATCCTGAAGAAATAGTCCGATCACCATGTCCTTATAGCGTTCTTGGGTGATGGTAAGAGCATTGCCTTCCTCATCCTCAATGAAATGGGATCCTAATATACTGTGTGCTGAGATGGCACACCATATCGTCACACATGTACTGTGTAACAGTTTTTGGATGATAACATCTGCCCACTCAAAACCAAGGAAGCAAGTTTCTGGCGACCACTTCTGTATGAGCGGAAATAATACTCAACTATGAATACCTTTTCCTCCATCGAGAGACCCATTTCCAACAACTGCACAACACAGCTTCCTTTTCACTACTGGGAACATGTGCGTCTGGAGCTATGCCCCGTCGACAAACGCACATGCTTGAGTTTCAGTACTGCATCTTTTGGCGCATACTGTACAAATCCTTGAAGAGTACCGTCTTTTGGGATGTGACAGCCAGTAGTCCAGTAGAAGTTTACCAACGTTTCGGAGGAACATCCTGCCTCCATCTTCAGGGTCGATGAGTAAGCCAAGCAAACATCACTCTGCCCGACTACTCAGCTTCATATCCCACAAGTGGTATTGTTCATAGTCACCATTGTGAAAACTGCAAGTCTCAAATGTAATGTTAGTTAGTTATTTAGAGAGGGTGGGTTTCCTCATGCACCGCTACCAGTTTGATCTATTGTGCTTCCCTCTATGATATTCTACCAGTCTCTATACCCTACTGATAAATGGTGCGTACCATCAGTCCCGCCGAGCAAGCGAGTTCAGCCACTTGCTTAGCGGTGTCTATAATGCTTCCCCCACCTGTCATAGGCCTTAGAGACTATTGTTGGGCGGGAAACGTCCTGGAATTTGGCTCAGTGATCCCCTTTGGGGATATGAGGTTCTTTTATATGCCGTAAAGTTACGACACGGGACACACAGCTTAAAGTCCCTCCCGGAGGACTTGTTCCCTGAATTTTTCCGCCCTTAAAAATTTGACGACCTCCGCTGGGTATTTGAACCCGCGTACTACGAGTCATGAGGTGGGAACGTTACCTCTAGACTACGGAGGTCGCTAAATGTAATGTTAGTTGTCATGTGTTACAGTGTGACTATAGATGGGGTTTGGAATGATGAATAGACTTATTGGCCACTTATACACACACTAGAGCACATGCTAAGTCTTCTCAGTTTGCTTTTCACTGGTCGTTTCCTGGTAACTGATCTTAACAGTGGAGAGTCATTAGCTTCTGTGCTCATGTCCTGCAAATGTTCCGCAACTGAACTGACTTTGTGACTTTGGCCCTTGCTTGTAGCATCTCAGCATGGACCATGCAGAAATTTCCTGTCTTCACTGTTACAGCCTGACTGTTGCGTTATTAAGAATCTGCTGCCTAGCATTGGGAATGCATTTACTGAGCTGTTGCCCAGATGTGAGTCTGGCGTATCTGCATATCTTGCCGTCATTGCATAGCAGTGGCTCTACACGCTACATTATTGTATTTCAGGGTCGTGAAGGGATGACTGCCTATTATCTAACCAAGGGTTGGGCTGGCCTCGTTGTAATGGTGGAGAATCGTCACGAGAACAAATGGATCCATGTCAAGTGCGACTGCCAAGAAAGTTATAATGTAGTGTCTACTCGTGGGGAACTACGTACTGTTGACTCTGTGCCTCCTTTACACAGGTGAGCTGAGGATTGTTGGTACTATTAATATTTTAATGTTACGGTAATGGGATTTTATAAAGGAAATTTATAGTTAGTCTGTATAGTGATTAGCAGGGCCCGGATTTTGATGACATGTCATCTTTTTTTTTCCTTGTATCTTATGCGATGCTCTTAAATATATAAATCTCGGATATGAGCTGTTGGTTACAGAAATGTAAATTTTATAGGTAATTCTTTGACATATTTAGGTTTAAGGTCTTTTTTTCATTTGGGGGGTAATTTTTTGGTAAATTTTTGGACTTTTAAGGGTATTTCTTGTCATTTTTGGCCATTTTAGGGAATTTTTCTTCATATGTTTTCTGAAATGTGAATAATATGGAAGCGAAGTGTTCTTTCTTTTCTCCTTTAGGTCATTTTTCTGGATTTTTTTGGTCATTTTATAGGTCATTTTTTAAATATTTTCAGGTCATCAGAATCTGGGCCCTGGTGATTAGATTATGGGCTGAACAACTGAGGTTTCATATTTTTGTTTGCAGTTTATTTAACAACAGTGTCAGTAACTTAGACTATGTAGCGTCAAACCGCAGAGTTAGTGTTCGATTCCCAGCGGAAGCGAGAGACTTCGCTGTTCCCCATACTGTCCAGGCTATTTCTTCGGGTCAACCCACCCTTCTGTCTGATTGATACTCTTGTCTCCGGGAGGTAGTGTGGTTGAGGCATGCAGCTGACCACTCACCACCATCCAGGACATGGGCTTTATGCTTAATTAAGCATTTACTTCCTGTTTATTAATGACAGTGAATACATATACAAACAGAGCAGACTATAACTGAAATTGTTTCCTTTGCAACTTATTCGTGGATAAGGGTCGTTGAACTGAAATTGTTCTCATCAGACAGGTACAGGTACGTCTTTATCATATGATGCTTAATTAAGCATTTACTTCCTGTTTATTAATGACAGTGAATACATATACAAACAGAGCAGACTATAACTGAAATTGTTTCCTTTGCAACTTATTCGTGGATAAGGGTTGTTGAACTGAAATTGTTCTCATCAGACAGGTACAGGACATTAAAAATGCCCCCCATGGGCACTGAGGCAAGCATCCAGTTGTTGCAGTTCCTTGGCAAGGAACTCCTTAGGATGCTGCTGGAATCGTAGAACCTCTACAATCTGACCAAACAGATGAAACAGATTTTATGTGAACAACTCTTATAATATGACATAGTAAGAGCATACTTCATTAAAGAAAGGAAATGTGTTTTACTGTAGCAGAAAATTCATTAAATGAAAACTGACTGTCTTGGTTTCTAACTAGCTCACAGAGGAGGATCCTTCTGGAGATGCTGATAGTTGCATTAATTTATTCTTGGTTTATTTCACAAGACTTTCAGTTTCTGATATTATATAGCATCTAGTGTAACAATGATTAATGAATAATGAATTGGAAATAATTTGGAAGAAAGTAGTCATGATCTGATTTAGCCTTTATTGACATGTGACGCAACATTCCATTGTGTGTAGGCAAGTGATAATTGTGCTGACACAACTGGAAGGGAGTGGAGGCTTTTCAATTGCACACCGCCTCACACATAGACTAGCCAATACAAGTGGTCTTCATGACTGGGGACCACCAAACACAAGTCATTGCCCTCCAATAGATCGACAAGTGGAGGGACTCCATTCACCACGACTCATCACATAGCATAAGCCAGTGCCACAGAAAATATTGATCTCATCAGCCAGTTCCAGCAGTCGGAAGAGACTTTACACTCCACTGCAAGAAGGCCTCATCTGAAAGTTGTCATTTGTTATTTAATAATAAGTATTATTATTACGAGACAAAAACTTCATGAAATATTTGTTTGGTTCAGTGAGATACCTTTGTACTTAACGAATGGCAAAAAACTAGTAAAGTTACTGCTTTGAAGGCAAAGTGAACCTATTATTGAATACATATTTTTTTTTGTAATGAACTTTGGACTGAATTCATGTAAGTAGGCTGGTTACGAAGATGTTGGGAGACTGATCATTTTTAATATATCATATAATCTCTAAACGCATTAACAATATAGTCTTTAGGCCTCACTGGATTATGGTAAGTACTACCATTTGGAATAATAAATTATATGAAAAGTAAATATCTTTCCTAATGCTAATATTAAGGAGGAAATAAAATTATAGTTAAAATAGTTATTACTAGTTTTAATTTATATCAGGTGGAATTTTAACTTCATTTTTCTGCCTTAGACATTATCTAGCAGCTAAGCTATGTCTTGAAGCAAGCCATCTTCTGGGATGTGGCACCATGTAGATATTGTGTTAACTGACATCTCGGAGGAATGTATCACCTCCATCTTCAGGGTAGAAGGAGAAAAATAAGAAAACCTGAAAGGGAAGAAACAGTGAGATGGAGGCGATACGTTCCTCCGAGACATCGGTTAACACAATATCTACATGGCACCACATCCAAGAGGACTGCTTTCTACATAGTCACCACCATGAAAACCTCAAATCTTACAATTTATGTCTTGTTTTTTTTTTTTTTTTTTCCAAAATTCCCTTCTTCAGATTTTACCTGTGCTCTTCCCTTGGTGTGTTATATTTCCTAATGTGTTAGCAATGTTGTGTTCTGGAATGTACCATTGAGTAGTCCAGTGTAATTTCATGGTGTTTTGGCTAAACATACTGCTTCTGTCTTCTATATCATTGTAAGTCAAGCAAGCATCAAACAGGAAACAAGCTGTAGCTCTGAAGGTGGATGCTGTATGTTCCACTGAAATGTCAGTGAACTCCAACCAGAATTTACATCACAGATGATAGTACTCCTCATAGACATTACTGTGAGAACCTCAGATACACCATTTCCTGACCTGTGGTTTCCATTGTGATCTTTGGTTTCACCTATAATACAAGGTGTGGCAATAAAGAACCCGCATTACTTTTATGACTCATTTCCGGCCACGTCATTGACGAAGAGGAGGGTAGGGCATTGACCCTTGGACTTCCCTCTACCGTCACACAAAGTTTCATTCACGTGCATCGGTTAGTCTGGCCGCGACCATTGTTAGAAGCGGATCGTGTTTCTGAGCTCCGTCGGAATAATGCTGAGTGCTAATGCAGAACAACGTGCTAACATCAAATTCCTCACAAAACTTGGAAAATCTGCCACTGAAACTTACAATTTGTTGACAGAAGTATATGGTGATCAGTGTCTATC